ACAAGTGGCTGGACTTACTGACAATGATGGAGCAATACACACCTCGATTGAAATATGAAAAGGTGTTATGGGAATTTCCTCCAAGAGGGTGGATCAAAGTAAATACGGATGGAGCATGTAGAGGGAACCCAAGGAGGAGTTCAATTGGTTTCTGCATAAGGGATAAGGTAGGTGATTTGATATATGCAAAAGGAAGGGAGATTTCTGAAGGAACCAATAATGAATCAAAAACAGTAGCTATTGTGGAGGCATTGAAGATGTGCAAAAATCTTAATTATTTTCAGATATGGCTGCAGACAGATTCCTTGCTATTAAAGAACATTATAGAGGAATCATGGAAGCCTCCTTGGTGTATTAATGATCATGTTGAGGAGATTTTAAGATTGAACGAACAAAGTATCATCAAGGTCACACATATATTCAGAGAAGGGAATACATTAGCAGACCACCTTGCCAATTATGCTCTTGATGAAGGAAATATTGAATGTCATGGTTTCTGGGATATGGACTCAAAAGGAAGGAGGATTATTAACGAAGATAAGATGCAATGTCCTTACATAAGAGTGAAGGTTGCAAGCAACTAGGAGGAAAAGAGGATTCAATTTGCTATCAGACTCGAATCATTCTTGAGGAAAGGTGGGTTAGCAATTTTAACGCTAACATTGTTTACTTTGTTGCAGGTACTTCATTGATGCTAAAGTATTATCTTATAGTAGAATCTCAAGTGGTGGTATTAATGCTTTGCATTCAATCCACTGAGAGGACATTAAAGTTGAGCTTTAGCATATTTTCAACATCTTTTCGTGGCAACTCAAGTGTAAAGAAACTCCACAAACATGGAGGGCACGTGAAATTGATGAAAAGGTGAGCATGGGCATTAGGCACCCAAGGTGGTTTCAAGGCACGCTGAAAAGGGATCTACAAAGAACCTTTGAAGACTGTGCAGTCGTGCACCTTTTGGCACGCCTAGTTGAAGGCTACACAGTGAGGCATGGAGGTATCATGCAGCGGTTAAAAGTTTTAGAGCAAATGCTGAGCATAAAAGACACAGGCGTGCCATTGTGTGTTCCCCAATTTTATTGGAAAAAGGTGTTGGACAGTAATGAAAAATTCAGTTGCTCAACAATTATTTTGGGACACTCACATTCTATTATTTTAATGCACGCATGCTCATTGGGACTGATTCCACGGGAATCTGCATTGGTAACCATGCGTCTTGGACCTCAAAATGTGGAAGTGTTGATTACCATGGCAGTTGCACGCTGGTTGTGGACATAGTTTTTCTTGTCGAGACAATAGCTGAGAAACACTAAGCAAAATGCTATAATGCACGCACATGGGATGAACATGGGCTACCATATTTAAATATGGCATGTTGCGTTATGCTGGACAAGCATTTTGGACTTTAATCCATGCATGATTAAGATGGAAACAAGCCATTACAGCCTTTTGAATTCTTAAATGCACAAATGCTTTCACATGGATTTTGCATGCTCATCAGGGATGGAAATGTGACGTGCAGTTCAAGGAGATGCAATGACACTATGCACGCCTGGCTCAAGGGTGAGTGCAACTATCTAGGACCAATACAAATACATGGGAAAAATTTAATCAAAGGTGGGTCTGCATGGAAATCACGTGATAATAATGCAACAATGACGGAGATTAAATGCAACAAAGAAGGTTATAAATGGATCCATGCAAGGCAACACGTGTACAGTAGCAACGATACAATTAAAGTGGCTATGTGCTCGCATGGGCTAGTTTTTTATGCAAGTTTTAGTGATCATTTTGTGATATCAATTTTGAGTAAATTACTCAATTTTGATA